GAAGTCTTTACACTGGCTTCCTGTGTGTCAAAGAATAGATTTCAAAATACTGCTGCTGGTTTATAAAGCACTGAATGGTTTAGGCCCAAAATACATTTCTGACCTCCTGCTAAATTATGAACCATCCAGATCTCTCAGGTCTTCAGGGACTGGTCAGCTTTCTGTCCCCAGAGTCAGAACTAAACATGGTAAAGCAGCGTTCAGTTATCATGCTCCAAATATCTGGAACAAACTCCCAGAAACCTGCAGGTCCGCTGCAACTCTGACTACTTTTAAATCCAGGTTGAAGACTTTTCTTTTTGTCGCTGCTTTTAATTGAACTATTCATATCTTAGACTGCACTGTAACTTTTATCCATGTATTTTTTCTTTTAATGTTTATTTTATTAGCTTTTCTTTTTAATGACTGATTTTAAATGCCATTTTCTTAATCTCTTTCATTTTTTGTAAAGCACTTTGAATTGCATTGTGTTGAAAAGTGCTATATAAATAAACTTGCCTTGCCTTGCCTTGCCTATAGTTAGGCCTTGTTAGGCCAGGCTCGCTTTATGCTTCGTTTCCATTACATTTTAGTAGCTGGGGCAGTAACTATAGTAACGCAGTGTAGACGGAGCTGTGACGTCATCTTCAATGCGAACCACAAAACCAGCATTAGCTGTTAGCACTCAGAGCTCACAGCACCTCATATCTGTTCAGAAACTAGACAAAAGTTAAACAAGTACAAACTACAGACTGTCTGTGTCATGGCGAATACAGTCGCTGGTTTATTTATGTCTGTATAGGCCGTTGTTGTGAGTGTGGATGGTCTGAGCTACAACGTTAGCTTAGCCGATCTCCATTTAGAAAAACACGCATTTTAAAAGGTTTTTCGCCTGCCGTCTGTCTGCAGACTTGTCAAAGCATTAATTCATAGTTTTCACTAACCGGTATCAGTATGTTGTTACTTCGGCATCATTTTGAAACGTTTATTACAATCACAATCATGGTCAAATATATTCATTTTGTTGTAGTTGCCAGCGATTCTCTCACTAGTTTAGCATACTCAGCCCGGAAAGAACCTCGATTTTGGAGGGCCAGAGAAACTGTGAAAAAGTACCCGCTAGCCGGTGTAGGCATAGATATATATATATATATATATATATATATATATATATATATATATATATATATATACACTAGATGACTCACCCGCGCTGCTGGCCAATGGAGACCAAAGACGAAATGGTATCTGGTGTTTCCATAGCAACAACAACTTCCTGTCAACAGCGTAAACTCCCACAGACAGTACACACGTTCATCCTCTGAACGCGTGTACTTACGTCTGTTCAAAAAACTGCAGGAACCCAGAACACAGACAAAAAAACTCCCTTCACATCTCAACTATTGTAAATGTTACGGGTCCCCGATGTGACCACAGTAGCAGTGATGATAACTGTATTAAGCAGGTGAAACAGGAGCTGTTGACAGGAAGTTGTTGTTGCTATGGAAACAACATGACGGTATCTGATATCATAAAGACGGAGAAAGTAAAAAATAAAGTTTATGTTTAAATGTTAGCACCCCCCGAAGAGGCACAAGCTCTTACGTTGAGTCTGGAGTTTCAATACATTTTAAATCATCAGTAAAGTCTACGGCCATATTTCGGAGAGATATGATACATATTAACTTTCAATTTTATGCATTTCAGTTCTTCAATAACATTACTTAATTTCACTTCACTTTCCTGACACAGTTCCACTAACATACATTCACTGTCGATTGTTATTTTTTAATATTCTTTGCGGAATTTGGCCGTGTAAAATGTCCTCTTGGGTTGCCGTACAGCCAATGCGTGACGTCATTAGTAAGCGTAACGGGCCCGTGCTAATCTGGTAGGCCGTGCAGATATGCTACCTACACCGGAACTACGCCAAGTGGAAACGCAACCAAAAACGGGCCGGGCACGGCACGCTTAAACCGCGCTCCTTTCTCGTATGTCCTTAGTTTTTACCACATTGAATTAACCTCATTGTAAAGTTTGGGCATGTAAGTCTTATATTAACTTTCACAAATCTTGTTTTTAGTCATCAGATTTAATTGAACAATCCAATCAAGCTAGTCTAGCTAAAACACTCATTATTTTTCCCCCTTGAGTCTCTGTGTTCCCATAAATAACCTTAACTTCAGTCAGTTATTCCCAGTCCTCCTGAATGTGCTCATTGTGTGCTGCTGCTGCAAACAGACAATAAAGAGAGACTTTACTAATGCTTTTATTGTTTAAACTTCACTTCAGCAACACATTTGAAAAGCAGGCATTAGACTTAGAGTATGTTTCCCATTGTTCTTTGACTTAAACTATTCATATATTCTCATCATCTTTTGCTTGAATATGAGTTTAAACCTGCCACGTTGATGGGGATACATGTGGGAACCAGATGTGAAATTAATATGCACTCGTCAAATTGCTCGTAGCGTTTTCCAGTTCAGACTCAGAAAACCTATACAACTGAACTAATAACACACACACACACACACACACACACACGATCTATCAGCCCATTCCCTGGCTGCGTCTCAATAGGAGCAGAGAGATTCATAATTACACTGTAAATGGCGTTTCCATTGAGGTAGGCAGCCGTTATCTGAGCCATTATGTCTCCTCTCAGATCTTCCTAAAAGCCCATCAAAAGTCTACCCTCCCCCTCTGCCCTCTCAGATGTTGATGTATCCGTGAGATATTTGAGGATTAGGACATAATGGATGTTTTGTAGCACAGGGGGGAATTCACCACACGGTAATCAGAGGAGCCCAGAGGAAGTATTAACTAACTGTGTGTCGCCTTTCTCCCTCAGAGGCCCGGCACTTCCAGGAGAAACTGGACGAGACTACAAAGCTCCTGCGTGACCTACAGGAAGCTCAGAGGGAGCGTCTGAGCGCCAAGCAGCCGCCCAACATGATCTGCCTGCTGGCCCCCACCACCAAGGAGCTGGAGCTGGGTAACACCATACGATAATACGATACGATAACACTTTAATGGTCAGATCAAGTCTGACATTTGTCTTGCATCACAGCAGCTTCATGTGTAACATCAACATGGACACACATCAAGACAACAATACATGACAAACAAACATTGAACATAACAGCACGATCACTGAGAGAAAACATGCTCAAAGAGCCTTCAGCGTGCATTTGATCTGCATTCAGCTCTGTGTTTACTGTGAGGATTGACTGGAGCACAAAGGATGCTTCAAAGGATGCTTCAGTCTGACTTTATTGAATCTCCCATTAGATGGTAGCAGTTCATATTCGCTGATCAGAACATGGTTTCGTCCCATTGACCCCCCCCGTTGCCCCCTCACTCAGGCTGTCTCCACCTGCTGTAGACCTCCAACTCCGCCATACACAGATGTGGTTCCTTTTTATTAAAGAGGTCACAGTTAGAAAGTGGTAGGATTCATATCAGTACATTGACCTGATTGCTAGGGATGTATTCTTTAAAGATTCCCTAATTGTGTTTGTGGGAAAGGGTTTGTCACTGTTGAATGTTTGCACTCCCTGGAGAAAACATTTTGGATTTGACGTAGAATAAAGAAACTTCCCATTTAACTATAATTTGTGATCTGAACATACAATCAAAGTGTATACTTCAAATATGGGGAAGATATGAAGCCAAAAGTATCCATCTGATACCAAGTAATACTGCACAAAAACAAGAGTTAATTAAATCACATCAACCAACAATTTCCCAATTTGAAATCATAAAGTAAATATCTAATCAAATCTAATGACATGAATGTGACTTGGCCTAAACACCAATTACGATCCCACTGAAAAGGTACACTAAGGCTTTTGTGTGAGCAAGTGTCGTGTGATGCATTCATTCCTTATTATACTGTTACCCGTTGCACCAAACAAATAATGTTTTCTTTCCTCTCAGCGGAGAAGGTGACGGGGAACCTGGCGGCGCTGACGGGTCAGGTGGCTCCGTGTGACGTCAGCAGTGTGTACGGCATCCGGAGGGCCATGGGCATCTCCGTCCCTCTGGACCCCCCCGGGCCCTTCATCGACCTCACCACAGGTACATCTCCTCTCTGGACATAATCACTGCTGTTTGACACTTGTATTATATTTGTTTTATCAAAGTGTGAACTACATTGCTGGTCGTCTGTGGTGGAATAAGTGCATTTACTCTGTTATAACGTTGAGGTAAATGTGTTTAACATTTCTACTTGAAGATGGAGATATGGTTATTTTTACTGCGTTAAATTAATTTGACATGCGGCTTTAGTCACTAGTTTTAAACAAATGACCTTCATTGCTTACAAAACATAGAAATAGCTTGCAAAATATGTTTTATTTTATTAAACTACACAGTTAACAAGTCGATTTACTTTGTAAGCATTTTGAATTGTGATCTTTTGAATGGACAAAAAAGGGGTCACTTGTAACGATATGTCCCAACCAAACAATCAATCCACTAATTGGTATCAGCAGATTAATCCATAATACACACATTCATCCCTTTCACAAAATAGTTAAAAAGCAGCTCTACTTAAATGAATGCATAAAAAAAGAATCTAATGGTTCAATATATAATAGGATAACAATCAAAGGAGGCATTTAGTACTATTTATACTTGAAATACATGATTCTGGCTCACTTTTATTCATTTAAATGCAGGACATTTACTTGTAACAGATAATTGTTTTATAGTGTGCTATTAGTACTTGACCTTAAATAAGGATCTGAATTCTACACCTACTCTGAATAATTCTCAAATAGCAGAAGTAAATTTAAAATAACGTTTCATCAAGAGTCAAACTTCTAATATATTTCACCTTTTTATGTTTTCAGTGCAGGAGACGGCTGAACCAATGGAGACGGATTCAGTTCCAATCATCGCTGTTTAATTAAATTCCTCTCAACTTTTACAGTTCTTACGTTTTTGTACGAAAGGTGCTTTTTGTGTGACATTTGTATGCATTTCCTTCAATAAACCTCGTCTCTTGTGCATCAAACTGCAGACTTACGAAAACATTTATTACATTCTGTCACTGTACAAAAGTCAATGTCACATTTGTTCACATGAAGGCCAATACATTATTATTATCAGTATTATTATGTAACCACGATTACAGACGATAAGGCCACAGGACAAAGTGAATCAGTTCAGGTGATAGTCTGAGCCGGAGGCAGAAAAACATTCACAGCAGGCGCGGGTAAGGTGTCCCTCTGTGCAGCGGAACAGACGATGTACACACAGCACATATTTCCTCTTTAGAAATGCAGCAAATATCTTTGTTTCTCTGGCAGATCTCAAAGCTGTCACATAAAGGGCTAAAGTCTTGATACAGTCACTTCAGGATATTTTTCAAGTGTCCTACTTTGTCGTGATGTGAATGTAACCCAAATAAATGAGCAAGAAAATTGATTTTAATATTTTAATCAGCCAGTTTCTGTTTTACATATGTTACGCTCATTACACAGTAACAGAGCATCCGTCTTTAAACCCATTGGAGTTATGATCCAAACAGTATCTATTGTTTCTTTTTTAAAAGGCCTGTACGTCCTTTACCTGTATTATTTGGCATTAGTACGACAACATCTACGTTAAAGACAAGAGGACAAGTACAAAAGTGATCACTGGACGTTAATGTGTGTAGAAAAAAGATGGCGATTGTCCGTTTTCGCTCCACCATGACACATCCTGATCCGCTCAACAGCTCCGGAGTACAAAAATGTTTTTCCAGTTTCTCGCATCTACCACACTGCGGGGTCTTTCATATTTCTGTGTGTCCTCAGCTCAGACCCATGCCCTGCTGCTTGCTCATGTCGGTGCACACGAAGAAGGTTTTCAGCTCCCCTTTGCCCTTCACGTTGATGAATCCCCGACACTCACACGAGTAGCCCAGCTTGTGCAGCACCTCGGACGTTTCCTCCGTCAACTGGAAGAACAAACACACAGATGCAGCTTAGAAAACATACACAACAAGGCATGTTTATAGGTTTTGTTTTGTCTGGTTGCTAAAATGTTACATCCGGAGTACCGAACTCTTTTCAACAACGAACAAAACATGACTTCTCTTACTAAATAATACACAAAGTAATTATGAATTGTGTCTTTATTTTGGCAGCATTACGGTTTAGTTACAGCAGGATTTCATTTTGGGAGCAGTGCTGTTAGGAGAGGGAAAGTAATGTAAGTAGTTCCCAAAGTTAAAGGTCACCTATCATGCTATTTTTAGGCAATACCATAGGTCTCAAAAAAACATGTCTATGAAGTGTTTTGCTCAAAATACCAAACGGATCACCCATTGTAGCCATGCCTCATATCCCTCTATTTCACTTCCTGTTTCAAAAGTGCTGATTTGGGTTATGAAGCTTTTTTTGTTTTAAAAGGAGGGGGCTGAGCTGATGGGGACCCGGCAGCTACTGTCTAAACTAAATACTGCCGTGATGAAACGCCATATCATGGATTATCAAGGATTAAACACAGTATATATTGCCGTGTTGCCTTCAGGAACACCAGATCAAACACAGTATATATTGCTGTGTTGCCTTCAGGAACGCCAGATCAAACACAGTATATATTGCTTTGTTGCCTTCAGGAACACCCGATTAAACACAGTATATATTGCCGTGTTGCCTTCAGGAACGCCAGATCAAACACAGTATATATTGCTGTGTTGCCTTCAGGAACACCCGATTAAACACAGTATATATTGCCGTGTTGCCTTCAGGAACGCCAGATCAAACACATTAATTATCGCTGTTTGTCTGAGCGTACCTGGATCTTCCCGAGCTCCCCGGTGCTCTCCATGCGGCTCGCCACGTTCACCGTGTTTCCCCAGATGTCGTACTGAGGCTTCCTCGCCCCGATCACTCCGGCTATCACTGGGCCGTGATTAATACCTGGAGAGGAACACCATGATTTACTCTTACGGTACATCGTATAATGTTAATGTGACACAACAAGTAAGAGATTAGCGTTAAACAGAGGAGAAACAATGAGATTCAAGAGGAAAACATTTGATCATCCTGCTTCAGATCTTTGCCTGGATACTGGAAGCAAAATAAAGATGTATAATACCTTTGGTCGGTTTAGTCATAATCCTATTGAAATTAAAACAAAAGTATGATGTCACCGGTCAAGAACAAGTCTTTGCTTAACACTAAACACTGCTTTTTGATAACTCACTACACATTTCAGTGTTTATGCCTTATGTTTGGTTTTATCTCAAAAGAAAAGTAAATGTTGAAACTAAAACTTTTCTCCTGATCTGTAAACTGTCTGCTCACAATCAGCTGTCAGACGTTATGACGTGGTTAAGTATGACGCTCACTTTATTATTAGATGGAGAGACTTCTGCTGGAAGAATGAAACACGCTTTTTATTAGGACGTCTGAGTAACAACACTCGAGCATACCTGATATGAAGAATTAATTTAGCACTGTAGACAGATTTATTTAGGACTTTTCAAATCAAATTATGTTTAAGGATTTGTGGGAACCTTGCTTCCTGCAAACATCACTTTAGTAAAATAAATTAAGAAAGTATTTAAATAACTAAACATGTATTTATTTATCTTTTGTTTACTTTTTGATTGTTTGTTACCCACTTAATTGTTTGTATGTTTTATTTTGGTATTTTATTTATGAATATATGAAAGCGTTATGAAGTCTACGGTGTAAAAAAACAAATGATTTACAATAAATAGTAATACAGCAGATAGTATAATGAATATAACTTAAAAATAAGACCCTAAACATTACATAGCAGACGCTACTAGATCTTATGAAGACGTTTTCACTAGTGTAACAAATACCCGATGGTCAGTGAATGCAACGTCATGGCAACAAGCATTGATGCATTCCGTGTCCAGTGTAACCATGGAAACCTGTTGTGTTATTTTACAGACAGCTGCGTGCAGAGTTCAGTGAATGAAGCAGGTTGTTTTCTCCCACTCACCCACGCGCAGCCGGAAGCTGTTGAAGGAGTGTCTGTTGATGCCGTCCAGCTTCCCGATCAGAGCGATGGCGAACTCCACCATGTTCCCGATCTGAGCCTGCTGCCGCTCTTTGTCCTGGAGGAATACATCAAAGACCCTCAATATTACAGGGGTGTCCAAACTTCTTTCACCGAGGGCCACATACAGAAAAATATACGAAGGGCTGGGCCACTCACTAGAGGTGTACTGCCTCATAAGTTCAGTTATGAGTTAGCTAAATCAATCAGATGTAGGTAGATGATGCTTGTGAGCAGTGTTGGCCAAAATGTAATACAGTACATGTGACTTATTACTGTCTTTTTTAAGTAATAAGTTACACTACAATATTACTGTCTCTGAAATGTAATGAGTTACACTACTTTTATATTACTTTACCAAAATAACCGCAAAAGAATGGCAAGGTATTTTAAATGCTAAAATGTAGTTTAGTGCAGCTCATTATGCATCCAGTGAAGGGCGATGTGGTATAGCATAACAACTGTGTAGGCCCTTAAGGCTACTAACAACTTGTATTACACGGCTTAGTTGAATACTCGATTCTGATTGTAACTTCTTAACATGTGACACGTTGTTAATACAGCAGTACAGATCGCTGTCAAGGACTATAATGAAGGTTGCTAAGGAGGATCAAGAAAGAGAAAGGAGAAGAGGTTAAAAGACGGAGCGCTGGACGTCAGATAAATCACCAGAAGAAGGCAGGAAGTAAACAATAACAGGAACGCGGAATGGGCTCTGTAGTTTGTTTAGTATATGGCCGTGTAATAAGCGGGATAACGTGCATCGAGGCGTCATTATGGGGAAAAGAACACCGACAGGCGGATCAGGGATCTTGATGAGCCTGAAGGGTAAACACCAGGCTTACTAATCTACCCGCACAATTTTCCTCTGGTGTCGGAATGTCTCACGATGTTGGTAAATTCTTAAAAAACAAAACACCATTTAATTTCGAGTTAAAATGTGTTGAACTGCGTTATTGAGAATTGTAACGGGTAGTATATTACCCACATTTCATTAGTAATGCGTTACATTACTTCGTTACAGCAAAAAGTAATACATTACTGTAACTTTTGTAACGTGTTACACCCAACACTGCTTGTGAGTGTTGGCAGCTCATCCCTTAAAGCAGAAGCCTCAGATTGATTATCATAAGGAGAAATAGGAAGGGTGTATTTCAAGCTTGTTATGTAAATAAGTCATTGGACGTTTTTCTTATCAACTCAGATATGTTAGTAAATGTTTCCAACTTTAATTGACTGAATTTATTTGAAAAGTGGACTTATTAACACATGAGTACTACTGTGTAATATATTGTTACATTTATAGTTAAGAAGTACAATATAAGACAAGCACAAGTTTCATGTGTGTTTCATGTCCATTATACTTTTTGAATTTGCTGAGGGCCGATTCAAAATGGTCCGCAGGCCGCATTTGGCACCCGGGCCGTAGTTTGAACACCCCAAATGAAACAGAAGGAGTGAAGCAATTGTTTGAGCGTTTCAAAGTATTTATCTTCCCGTATTTAGCCCCTCTGCCTATAGCCGTAACACTGTGACTGATCCCAGATGTGAGCGGTTTATGTTCAATGAAGGAGTCTTTCTCGATAGTGTCCACAACAGACATGAGATTCATTTAATTCATTTAAAAAAGTTTAATTGTTTAAGCATCTCCTCCAAGTTTTTTTTTTGAGACTGACCATGGTATAAAACTAATGATTTTTGAATAACTGTTAATAAAAAATATTAGTGACAATCCAAAGCAGTATAGTAGATAATAATAATAGAGTATTCTTTCAGGTACCCAAAGAGACTTTACAGGGTAACATGTATATTATTCAAGTCAGTTGGTTGGTGGATTTTATTTATAGCAAATATATAATTATTTAGTGTCATTATTTCAGTTAATTCAAGTTAATTTCTTTATATTGGGCATTCATGATTTGGGTATATGTTTGTTTTTTTCAAGGCAAGCAGCAGGAAAACAGAGAGTCAAACCTATTCAACATCTTCAATACAACCGCTTCAAGATGTATCATTTTTTATGTTCTTCATTGGTTTTTATTTACCTGATTGTTCTCGTGCCCGGGCGTCCCGCTGAGCCCGGCGGCGGCCATGTACGTGCTGCCGATCGTCTTGATCTTCTCCACCCCGCTGAACTTGGGCTTGGACAGCAGCTGGTGGAGGAAAGCATGAAGAGGGATGTGAGTTTGTTTCTGCTGCAGTCAAGGATTCAAGGCTTTCATCAGTCATACGTACATAGCTACAGTGTAGTTATGTCAATGGAAACCTTAGGTCACAGGCTCCTCCAACAGTGCAACACGTTAAAACAGATCAAATAGTGCAAGTAAATACAAATACAATATAATATAGTAGTGTGACTCTGGTTAGTTAATACTCATCAAAAACTAACCAACAAAACGCACCCACCGTTACGAACCTTGGTATTAAAATGGACCGTGAACTCAAACTTGAGAGTCAGATTAAGTCGGTGGTAAAAACGAGCTTTTATCACCTGAGGCAGCTAGCCAAAGTAAAACCTTTTCTCTCCAGACAGCAGTTTGAGACAGTAATCCATGCCTTTGTCACCACCCGGCTGGACTACTGTAACTCTCTCTACATGGGGGTCAGTGGGTCCTCCCTCGCACGACTGCATCGGGTGCAAAATGCCGCAGCAAGGCTCTTAACTGGCACACGGAAGTATGACCACATTTCCCCTGTTTTAGCTTCTCTCCACTGGCTGCCAATTTATTTTAGGATCCATTTTTAAATTATTTTATTGACTTTTAAATCCCTAAATGGCATGACCCCACCATACCTTGCTGAGCTGCTACAGCATTACACGCCGAACCGCCCTCTCGGGTCAGCGGACCAACTGTTCCTGAATGTGCCTAAAACCAGGTCAAAGCTCAGAGGGGACCGTTGCTTCTCTGTAGCGGCTCCCACACTGTGGAACGCTCTGCCCCTGGAGATCAGACAGGCCTCCACACTGCCTGCTTTTAAATCGCTTCTTAAAACCCACCTCTTCTCCTTAGCGTTTTAACATTTGGCGTTTCAACATCTTTCAGAGTGTTGCTTTTTTGCATTTAAATTGTTTTTTTGTTTTTACTTGTACTTGTTTTATGGTGTGTGAGCTGAGCTGTGTTACTTTTTTGTATGCTTTGTTTTATCTATTTGCCTGTACAGCACTTTGGTCTGGAGGTTTAAAGTACTTTATAAATAAAGTTGTATTGTATTGTAAAAGAAAAGCAAACTGATAATGACTTTTTAACGTGGCTATAATACATTTGGCTGCTGCCCAGTTCACAGCATCACATTGCGTAACTTGCATTTACATCTACTGTAGGTAAGACACTGACTACGGATAAGTGCATCATACAACTACACTTGAAACCCCCCTTTTAACACTGTACGTGCATAGGCAGAGTTACGATATCAGATTAGGGCATTAAAACCATCCCTGTATCACAGAGTGTAAAGGAAGATGGGTGGAACTGCTGAACTTGGGCTTGGACAGCAGCTGGTGGCGGAAAGCATGAAGAGGGATGTGAGTGTGTTTGTGCTGCTGTGTGACTTTGGTTAGTTAATACTCATCAAAAACTACAAATCAAACGATCTGGAGCACTAATGGCACATTTCCACTACAGCGCGGTTTAAGCGTGCCGTGCCTGGCCCGTTTTTGGTTGCGTTTCCACTAGGGGTAGTTCTGGCTAGCGGGTACTTTTTCTGGCTCTCCAAAATGGTGGTTCTTTCCGGGCCAACAACCGGGCTGAGTATGCTAAACTGGTGAGAGAATCGCTGGCAACTACAACAAAATGAACATATTTGACCGTGATTAAATTGTAATACACATTTCAAAATGATGCCGAAGTAACAACATACTGATACCGGTTAGTAAAAAACCATGAATTAATGCTTTGACAAGTCTGCAGACAGATGGCAGCAAAAAACTTTTTAAAATGCGTGTTTACTGAATGGAGATCGGCTAAGCTAACGTTGTATATGCGCCGACCGTCCACACTCACAACAACGGCCTATACAGACATAAATAAACCAGCGACTGTATTCGCCATGACACAGGCAGTCTGTGGTTTGTACTTGTTTAACTTTTGTCTAGTTTCTGAACAGATATGAGGAGCTGTGAGCTCCGAGGGCTGACGGCTGATGTTGGTTTTGTGGTTCACATTGAAGATGAAGTCACGGCTCCGCCTACACTGCGTTACTATAGATACTACCCCAGTTCCTAAACCGTAATGGAAACGCAGCATAAAGTGAGCCTGGCCCACCAAGGCCTAACTATACCGTACTAAGCCGAGTGAGGCCCTGCAGTGGAAAAGCGCCATTAGAGACCATCAACTTTAGTGGTGTGTAAGGGGTTAAATTAAGCCGGGGCTCAGACCAGCCTCTCACCGTTTAAACAATGCAAATGTTTACAATTAGCTTTTAATGCTATGCTCATTGAAAGCACCGCTGCATTCAAACACATCACATCACGTGAAGCCTGTAGTTTATCCTTTCGCCTGTATCTACTTGTCTTTCATCCTTTCTTTATAACTAATGCTGTTGATGTATTGTGATTTCAAAAAGGTGTCTATTATCATCTGGCCAGGCAACAGCTGGAAATTAGTCATGTCGGCTAAAGCTTCCCTATTTACTGTTGTTTGTGACAGTTGATCAATGGGGACTGTCCACGACACTAAACTAATAAACTGTGTCACAGAGTGTAAATGAAGAGGGATGTGTTTGTGGCTCCTGACCTCATCGAAGTCAGCGATGATCTCGTTGAGCAGCCTCAGGCACTCCAGGCCTTCTTTGTTGATGTCGCACTCGGTGTAAAACTCTTTGAAATCCGGCACCGAGGCGAACATCACACACACGCAGTCATAGGACTTATAGTAGAGGTCCTGTCGGGGGAAACGCACAAAAAGCACAGTTCATATTTGTACTATCACAAGAATATTGTTATTACCAATAAATTACTTGTGGCAAGAACATACATCTAAGTGAACAACAGGCTTATTGTTTTAAGAATTTCCTCCAAGTTTTATGTCGTTTTTTTTATGTATGCACTATTTTCTTTATCCACGATTGAGAATGTGAGGCTTAGATGTAACTTTTAAGACAGGCCTCTCTTAACTGCTGATACATGTGATAATATAAGGACTATTTACAGTTTATATATGCCTCTCCTCCAAGTTATACTTGATGTAAAATATATTATGCTTAAAAACATGTGTTTTTATTTGTATTCCCCAGGGGGAGGCTGGGAATGACTTCAATTAAAGTTTTTTGTATACAAACTTCCCTTAATTTATTCTAGAAGTACTGACAACTTACAATTGTAGGCTAAGATAAGAATACTTTGAATTCATCCCAAACAAATGAGTTCATAATTTGAATTAAGGAATCTAAACGAACCTCACACACACACAGTGATAATTGTATGGTTGTATAAGATGTTGCTTTCCTAATGTGCACAGTGTTGTGTAAGGGGAACCTGTGAGTAAAGATGACTGACATTATAGTTACCTGCATTTATATCAAAGCTAACAGTTAACACTGAACAGAAGTGAAGCTTTTGCCTTATTTTAGAAGTTACACAACATTTCAAGACACCTAGGCAGAACACAGAATGCATTTCTCTTTGGTGAATCAATTGTGAAAATATCTGCCTCTTGTAAAAACATAAAATATATACTGAACTATACATTAATCAGTTATTGCCTAAAGAAGAAGTGAGGAATATCATATTTCTGTTTAAATGTCACTTAGACAGCGGCCAGCCCACCGAGGTAAATTGATGCTGATACATCATGGTTATTTAGTGGGCAACTAATCATAATATAACATGAATTGTAATTGACTGGTTACTCATTCATTGCTTATCATATATTCCTCATAACACCATCCTCCCCCTCACCTCGTTCTTCTTGTTCTCGCCGACGAACAGCGCAGCGACGTGTGCCGGCAGCACGTTCTCCAGCAGCAGGCGGTTCAGGTTCTCCCGGGTCTCGATCTCGTCCTGCTCCGTGCGGTTCTTGTACTTCAGCAGGAAGTCCTGCCGGAAGCACGACTCGTTCTAGCAGAAGAAACACAGCGAGAGAATAATGAAGGAAGCCCCAAACCGTTTTAATTCTGATTTTCCTGGTTTCTTCGTATATTTCCAGAAGGTTATCAGCGTACAAACACTCTTCACCTCATGAAGCCCCGCCCCTTTCCCCCGCCTAAGGTTTAACCCAGGGGTGCCCAACCAGTCGATCGCGATCGACCGGTCGATCGCGAGGAGATTCCCAGTCGATCGCGAGATGTGTCTAAAAATAGAACAACAACATTCTGTTTTATCGTTAATGTCCTGTAACATAATATTCCTGTGCCAGAATAATGCACTTGAACGCATCAAAGCTTTGTGATTGGCCGGCGTGACCCCATGTGTCGGGGCGTGGCTGGTGGGCAGTGGGCACTATAATTTCGCTGACGTTGTTGTCCGACCGTGTCAACAGGAGTGACAGTCCGCACACACACAAGACCGCAATTATGGCAGAAGCAAAAAAGCCAAAAATATATCATTTTCACTCCGAGTGGGAGGATGATTATTTTTGTATCTATTCCAATTCAAAGTCTATCTGTCTCATCTGCAATGCGAGCGTGGCTTTATCGAAGAAGGGTAATTTAGGAGCGGCATTTCAAAACAGTGCACAAACGCTACGAGACGGAATTCCCTCCTAATTCTGCCCTACGCTCCAAAAGGGGAGGGGCCTGAGAGCACAGCTAAATGCACAGCAGTCCATTTTCACCAGGCCCAACAACAAGAGCAAGGCTTCTACCAGAGCATCTTATCGTGTCAGTCACGTTCTTGCGAAACACATGAAGTCTTTCAAAGACGGCGAAGTTGTGAAAGAAGCATTCCTGGAGGCTGCGATGCGCTTTTTGGGGGACAGTAAAAATAACAGTAGCATTTCAACAGGTTTTTGATATGATAAAAACTCAAGTTAGATACCGTTATTAATCAGCTGTAAGTTTTAGTTTGTTTGAACTTATTCATTATAATTATTGTACAAAATGGTATAAGAATGCAAACATTAAGATCTGTTCTGTTTAAATTGATTATAGTCTATTATCAATTCAGGTTAAGAAACTAGTGTTGCGTGCATCCTATTTTAAAGGCATTTATTTTTATATTCAACAAAAAAATGGTTTGATTCTATTAATGTTGCTTCTTGAAAACATTACCCACTGTAGTGACGTGTGAATAAACTCCAACTCTGTATCAACAACACTGTTGTGTAACTTCAGTTAAATACTTGTATGTGTGTAGATTAGAAAGAGGTAAGATAAAGGATCTGCAGTATTTTATGAAGTATTCATCGTACAAAGGTCAGTTTTATACAAGTAGAAGTGTGTATTTACCTGGTAGTAGGCTCAGTAATGGCTACGACTCTCTATTTGGACTGGTAGATCTCGGCAGACTGGCAACTTTAAAAGTAGCTCTCGGTTCAAAAAAGGTTGGGCACCCCTGGTTTAACCGCTCATGCATGCATTGTTGACGCGCTCCTCACAACTCCAAACACCGCTGTAAATTCTTAAATATACAGTTTTTTGATGAAGTAATCATGTAGTGGTAATCTGAATGAGTTAGTTTATCACCTGATAAAGTATTATAACTTAATAACAGTTCATTTAAAAGCGTAAAAACGGTTTATTTGGCAAGTAAAGGTTGATAAAGCTGGCGATGCTATGCAAAGCAGTCGCAATTAAGGCTGAACCGCAAGTACACGTAATACGCATGTGAAGGTGAATATAAGCAATATAAATACATTTGTAAAAGGCCTTGAAATATCTTGTTAGGAGATTAATTACACATTAAAATGTTTGGGATGTGGGGGATGAAATTGGGCTGTCGAAAAATACACTTCATTCATAACGTCAAATTCTACATCCGCCTTTGAAGGCTGTGAAACCTTTTTTTATTTGGCATGTCTATTCATTGCCTAAATAAAAAAAATGTATGAGATGAAAAAGTGCTTTCTTCCCCGCTTGTGGCACACAAAGAGAGACGCACAATGACGAGTTATATTCAATAAAGAAAGTTCATTTAATACAAATAAAAAAATCACTTCATTCAAATTAAAGGTTTCGTTCGGAGGATTTCTGCTTTTTAGGGTGATGACCTTATAAAATATGCCTCAAAAGAAGCTGTGAAGTAAAAAGAAAATACATCCGGTACAGTGATAAGTCATATTATAATAATACTGTTTTTCATCAATATATTATAGGTCTCAGATATATACAGAGCCTGTCTCTGATTGGCTGAAACACCAAACAGATCATTGCAGCATTACCCATAATCCCCTCTGTTTCCAAAGTGCTGCTTCTCTGTCTGTCACTTTAGATGAAAACAAGGAGCCCCTCCCCACGCCCCTCTGAGAGACATTTGGTTACAAAGAACTCAATGGTGCTCTAGGAGGAGATTCAGGTGATAAGGGGGGGGGGTTACCTTGGTTGCTGATTGGCTAATGGTTACTCAAGACAACACATCGTTATGACATCATAAAGTGGCCAAAATCTGATCAGCTCATTTTCAGACAGGTTTTTATAGAAATGGATCAAAAAGAGAGAGAATCTTTGTTCCTGAAACTTTCAGAGTCTCTTTCTACAGAGGGGACACATGTTGATGAAGAAGAGACATGAAGAAGAGGGGACACATGTTGATGTAGAAGAAACATGAAGAAGAGGGGACACATGTTGATGTGGAAGAGACATGAAGAAGAGAGGACACATGCTGATGTAGAAGAGACATGAAGAAGAGGGGACACATGTTGATGTAGAAGAAACATGAAGAAGAGGGGACACATGTTGATGTGGAAGAGACATGAAGAAGAGGGGACACATGTTGATGTAGAAGAGACATGAAGAAGAGGGGACACATGTTGATGTAGAAGAGACATGAAGAAGAGGGGACACATGTTGATGTGGAAGAGACATGAAGAAGAGGGGACACATGTTGATGTGGAAGAGACATGAAGAAGAGGGGACACATGATGATGTAGAAGAGACATGAAGAAGAGGGGACACATGTTGATGTGGAAGAGACATGAAGAAGTGGATGTTGCATAATAGAGGACCTCTAAGGTGAAAGCTGTTACCTGCTGGGAGATGATGAGCATGGTGACCAGGAACAGAGTGATGTAGATGCAGCTCATCACCTGAGGGTGCTTCACCAGACCCAGCCAAATCAGGACGCAGTGATCGCTGGAAAGCACAACAATCATGACTTCATTCACGCTTTTTATTCATGTTTATTCTGGGATTATGCTGCAAAAACTGTCAGGTCTTCTAAAAGACTTTCAAACCCACTTTTATAGTCTTCTTTTGTGGTGTTTCTTTCTTGTTGTCCTCTCTGAGTTTAATGTGTTTAGTTGTTGTTGTGTTTTTTTAAAACGTGTATTAAAGGTTCTGTTTTTATGTAAAAGCACTTTGTTATTCTTACATTTTTAAATATTATATTGTATAAACACATTTAAATTATAACTCTTAATAAAAATGGTAAAATATAATATATGGACATATTTACATAAGCAAAGAAACTCAAAATTCTCTAATATTATATATTTTATTTCTCCTTTAGGGTCTGCTCCACGTCTCCAACAAACAAAAAGGACTTTAAAATAGTTCCAATTATTAAAATATGAGTGATAGTGTAGATAAAATGCCTGTGCTTCGAATCAGGCATTTTTTAAGGATTTCATCTGAAATTCAAGCCTTTTCCACGTTTTAAATGTGGCATCTTCCTCTCGCTCAGGACTTTGAACGTTGTCCTTTCTGAGCTGCTCTCTCTTGTCTTCGCTCCCTGTAATCCCACCTGCTGCAGTTCCAGCTGCCGCTCTCCTGGGCGTGCAGGAAGCGCCCGTAGTCCACAAAGAGCTCCCTGTTGGTGCTGAGGATGATGATGTAGTACGCCGTGGAGGCCAGGGTGAGGAAGAGCACTTTGAGCTCGAAGCTCACGCGGAGGAAGACTCCACAGGCGATGAGCGAGAGGATGCAGCAGTACACCGAGTACTGAGGAGAGAGAGGGGGAGAGGGGGAGGGGGAGAGGGGGGGGAGGGGGGAGAGGGGGGGAGGGGGAGAGAGTCAGGATACGGGAGCAACAGATCTATAAGGTCTTTAAAAAACACTAACGAATAAGCAGGAGAACAACAGGAACAATTGTAATAAATACAAAAATAGATAAATATCTCTGTTATTCAATTAATTTGAAAGAAAAAGCAGGATACAAATATCAATAAAAAGAAATATATATTAATAACACAATTGTATGTAACAAGCAGGGATAAGTAAAGTCTTCCGGGTTTTTAATAACAAAATTATTTTCAAATAATTATTCAATTTCTTTGTGAACACATTGGGTATACAGATTTATTTATATAAAGTATATATTTGTTGTTCATTTTCTCATCACTGTCCGTTCTTAAATTAAACACATCTAATCCAGCCTGACATGAAACTATGTCATTATTGCCCACGGTTAACAGAGCCATCACTCACAGGCAGGTAGAAGAACCCCATCTCTGATCCCTGCTCCTGGGAGTCGTTGGTGGGACGCAGCTCGTCCATTTCAGAGACTGGTGTCGGGACGAAGCACTGCGAGGGAGGAAAGAGACGTGAGAGACAGAAAGCTCCGGACAGAAGGCTTTGAAGAGTTTGGCAGACAGAAATAGCTATAAGGACCTCTTTAGGACTCAACATGTGAGCAGGTGGAAGGTTATTAAAGGTCACCTATTATGCAAAATCCTCTTCTTCATGTCTCTTCTACATCAACATGTGTCACCTCTTCTTCATGTCTCTTCTACATCAACATGTGTCCCCTCTTCTTCACGTCTCTTCTACATCAACATGTGTCCCCTCTTCTTCATGTCTCTTCTACATCAACATGTGTCCCCTCTTCTTCATGTCTCTTCTACATCAACATGTGTCCCCTCTTCTTCATGTCTCTTCTACATCAACATGTGTCCCCTCTTCTTCATGTCTCTTCTACATCAACATGTGTCCCCTCTTCTTCATGTCTCTTCTACATCAGCATGTGTCCCCTCTTCTTCATGTCTCTCTACATCAACATGTGTCCCCTCTTCTTCATGTCTCTTCTACATCAACATGTGTCCCCTCTTCTTCATGTCTCTCTACATCAACATGTGTCCCCTCTTCTTCATGTCTCTCTACATCAACATGTGTCCCCTCTTCTTCATGTCTCTTCTACATCAACATGTGTCCCCTCTTCTTCATGTCTCTTCTACATCAACATGTGTCCCCTCTTCTTCATGTCTCTTCTACATCAACATGTGTCCCCTCTTCTTCATGTCTCTTCTACATCAACATGTGTCCCCTCTTCTTCATGTCTCTTCTACATCAACATGTGTCCCCTCTGTGGAAAGAGACTCTGAAAGTTTCAGGAACAAAGATTCTCTCTCTTTTTGTCCTGATCCATTTCTATAAAAACCTGTCTGAAAATGAGCTGATCAGATTTTGGCCACTTGATGATGTCATAACGATGTGTTGGCTTGTGTAACCATTAGCCAATCACCACCAAGGTAACCCCCCCCCCCCCTTATCACCTGCATCTCCTCCTAGAGCACCATTGTGTTCTTTGTAACCTAATCTCTCTCAGAGGGGCGTGGGGAGGGGCTCCTTATTTTCATCTAAAGTAACAGACAGAGAATCAGCACTTTGGAAACAGGGCTGAAACAGAGGGGATTATGGGTAATGCTGCAATGATCTGTTTGGTGTTTGGAGCCAAACACTTCAGAGACATGTTTTATATATATCTGAGACCTGTAATATATTGATGAAAAACAGTATAATATGACCTTTAAGGAGATTTACCCAAGAAATGCCCACATTTTGAGGTATTTAGTTTGAATGTTTTGATTTTATTCTACTTACTTCTTCCGTTCCACTACATTACTGTTATTTGAGAGTTGAGATACCATACATCCAGCTACAGTAAAGTAAAACAGTAAAATGCTGCCTATATGCTTCAGTAGTACTAATTAAAATGTGTTGTGAGCAGACAGTATCAAACAATACTTTTCATGTAAATATAAAAAGAGATGTGTGGGGTAATTTTCAAGAGGCATTAATTTCACACTTTACGTTGAGATGTTCTTGTCTTACCAGGTTGAATACTGCCAGGATGACGATGACCGCAGTGGTGATGGTGGCCAGAGGGAGGCGCACACACGGCCGCTTCACCACCGCCTCGGACACGGCGGGCAGCCACTGGCACTGAGACAGCTTCTCTGGGAACAGGCTCTGCAAGAGACGAGAGGAAACATGTTTGAGGCGCACGTGGCTTTCACACAGTCATCCATCTCCAGACATCATGTGTGAGTGAGTAATGGGCGGCTATTTCCAGAGAGAGAATCTGTCTGACAGGAAACAAAGGGTCAGGTGTCGGGAGGTCGGATATAGAGAGTCGAGTCGCTTCAATTACGTGTTTTACATTCTCACACCGGCTAAATCTGGCTCTGCAGTGTGTACACATCAAACATGACCTTTTCACCCCGTCTTTATTTAACTGGGACTGGCCTTTTGTAGTAGAGTTATTGACTTATGATGCTAAGGATACAACGCAGGGGTGTAAAGTAACATTTACTCAAGTAACATAAGTACAATCTTGAGGTACTTATGCTACTGTGTACTTCTACTCCACTACAGTTCAGAGGTAAATGGTGTACTTGTACTCCACTACCTTCAGTTACTTCACAGATGTGGATGAATGATGTGAAATATAATCATACTTTAGTTCCACCTGGAGTAAATTCACAAGCTACCCTGCAGTATACAAAGTCATTCAAACTAGCTGCACCTTTACCAGCTTTGAGAACACTTTCATGATCAATCATTATAAAACACATCATATATATTATTCTGAAATGGACCAATCTGCACAATGACTACTTTTACTGTCGCTACTTTCACTATATTTTGATGAGAATACTTTTGTACGTTTACTTGAGTAACATTTTGAATGCAGGACTTTTACTGTAACAGAGTATTCCTACACTCTGGTACTTCTACTTTTACTCCAGTATCAAACTTGTACTTAAGTAGAGCACTTGAGTAAATGTAATTTGTGACTTTACACCTCTGCTGAAAAGCATATATACCAAATTGAGCTTTAAAAAGCTACATACGAGGAAGTAGAATACATATATAAACAAAAACAAAAAGTAACACATTTTAATAAAAAATTTAATTAAGAGCATGGCGTTTCAAATAATTGGGTTCTAAAAAAAAATCTGAAGAATATGTAAGTTTTTCTCTTTCAATGTCCTTTAAATAAAAAAAAGGGATAGAAGATGTTGTGCAGATTCAATGTTCACAGCTCGACCTCGGAAACATCCGATCCCTAACAATGTGAGAAGAAGCACAAGGTTACGGTCTGCTCTGGAGTTTGCTCTCGTGAAACACCCGTCTTCTCTCTAAAAACCTCATCTGTACATTGCGTGTTTGATAAGCACAAATAAAAGAGGAAGCTGGAGAGAGGCTATGGACAGACGGCGAATTAAATGACATCCTTCCTGAAAGCTATTCATCGTGAGTGGCCTTCACAAAACAGAAATACAGAACGAATTTCACATCGAATTTTCTCAAGCACGAGGAAATGGAATTCCTTAATACCACTTTAGGGATAAACACTTAACAGTAATGCTGCAGTTCAGGGCCAGCATTACAAAGTGGGATTTTTTATGGACACAAAAAAACTCCTTTACTCGACCTGCATCCAGAGGTTGTTTGATGACAGGATGCTTCTACTTTCTACAGACCTCCATGCTACCTGCCTGGGAATAAGTGCCTAAAAATAACCCTAAACTCCCCTGAAATCATGTAAATGTAAGTCTTAATAACACACTGACCTGGAAGTGACCTGCGAAACAGATGGCCAGGGTCAGCAGCAGCACGCACACCAGGACCCCGAACGACGTGCCCAACATCTGTCGACTGGGGAGAGGAAAACCAGTGTGTACAAATAAATATCTCCTTTTGATTTGAGTGGAATGAGTGGTGCAGGAATGAGTCCTAAAACCCACAAATGGGTTAGCATTCAAGCCTTTTCTCTGGGACACATGTTTATGTATAAAGGATATGAACAAGTGGATTTTGCATAATAGGTGACCTTTAAACTGCTGACAACTTGGTTATTTATGAGATTAAAAAGAGGGAAATGTAGTCATACTCACTCCTTTGTGACAAACAACTGAACCAAGAAGATGCAGAGGAAGATGACGGTGGCACAGCCGACGTAATGTTTGAACATCGGCAGGTCCAGGGCTCGGTACTTTGAAGAGGAAACACAGACGCAGAACTTCTAGTTCAACACCAGGATGCCTCAATGGAGATACTGATATAGATACATCTCAATATGAAATCATGCTTTTAAACCAACCTGTTTCTCCAGGTCTTTCTTTGGAAACCACAGAGCTAAACTGCCACTTTCTTCAGTCTTAGACCACTGCCTGAGAGAGGAGGAAGGAAGGAAGGAAGGAAGGAAGGAAGGAAGGAAGGAAGGAAGGAAGGAAGGAAGGAAGGAAGGAAGGGACAACTTTAGGAGGCATAATTGAATAAATACAGCAAGTGTTGAAGCATTATCTTGATATCAATATGTGTTACAAGACAGTGTTTATGCTACCAAGACTAAGTCACACCACTAGCATGGATGAAAAGTAATAATTGTTGTCAATACATTAATTGTATTTAGTTAAAGTTTAGAGCTTTGAGACAAATGTTACCGATAAAAACACACTGGTGGTGTCATGCTTAAGTTATGAAGTTGAGGGAAATCATCAGTAATACCTCAAGTTACCTGGTTTATCAATAGAGTGCATCTTTCTTGAATACATAAACCCATATAAAGACAGTTATAGTTGTTGTTGCCCTTCAAAGTGAAACTTAACCCAGACCAAGAACAAATCTATGGAAAAATTATTTTGTTGCATTTTCTTATCAAATAAACACAAACAATTTTTATTTTTTGACTGACCACACAGTTTTGTTTTTACGAGCCTCTACCAAATGGTCGAGCTGGCCTTCTATGGTAAAAGTACATTTTCAACAATCATCATATACAGTACAGTATGTGTATGCATCAAACTCAAATTAAACACAAACTCAAATACATTTGTTTCTTGTATGGAAAATGAGCAATATATACAACCAGATATATTCATAAAAGATAATAAATTACAATTGTAAAAAAAAAAAAATGGAAAAAAGTAATGTAAAGTTTTTCATGATAAAAAAAAGACTTGCTCATCGTACTGTATTTGCTGAATTGGCCTAACAGGAAACCACTGGCCTAACAGCAAATGTCTATATCCTGTGTTGGCCTAACTTGCTCATCTGTGTGCAACTTCGGGCTGAATGCCATGCATGAAAGGTGCTATATTAATTATGATCACTCTTTCACTCTGAGACTCATAAGGCAGTACTAGATTTAGTAATATTACCATAACTCTAGCCATTTATTTACCATATTTTATTGGAAAACATCTCTGAAACTCTGAAAAAGTCATATTGCTAGCTTACCATAAAAGGCCAATTCGACCGATTGGTTGAGCATATTTTCAAAAAAATAATTACACCCATGTTAAAACTTTGTGCATCAAGTTATCTAATTATGTTCAGTCAGTGCCCTGCCACTAACATATGTCAAAAATGATGGTTACCTTACAAAAGCTGACCAACTTCCTCAGTGGAAGCTAGCTGAAGGGCTTTCTGTTCGAACCACAGTGACATCTAGAGGTTGTTTTGTGCATAACATGTCAACCAAAGGGTAGAGCTGGCTGAATCAGATGCAGTTCAACTTAAAGATATCAAGACACAAAATGAGCTCTACCAAATGGTGGTGCTGGCAGTTAAAGGGTTTTAATTATATTGTTGAAGCAGTTTGGGTTAATACTTAATTTGATAAAATAAGTTGTATTTTCTGTTTAAGCTGCACTACAATTGAACTCCATCCTAACAACACTTAGAGAACAAGACACGTTCAGTTTATTTAAAACTCATTCTTACTGCACTGTACAGTCCTCTGTCTTCAGTCGGTTTAACCTGCGGCTATCTTCATGTTTTATGTAATATGTACGTTTTATTTTATTAGCATTTCCAATATTGTGACCCCCTTTGTTGCATGTTGAATGATTTAATTCACTTTTAAGTTCAATATGATTTGTTTTAAGGGTGACTTCACATCATTTGTCCAGGGAATACAGATAAAAACCGCCTCTAGGCATTCACAAAAAAGTGTATCAATGTGCATTGTCTCTGCTAAATAAACTAAAAGTACAACACACGTGCCTGAAATGTGATTTTAGTGGCTGTGAAGGTGGACCTACTTGCTGCTGAGCTCATCGATGGTGGTGGTCATCTCGTTGTGCAGCTCCTCGTCAAACTTGCTCTTCTGGGATTTGTTCCTGCAGCGAAGAGCACAGAGATGGTTAAAGAAAGAAAGTGAAGCACCAGGCGGACGGAGAGACACCAGATCAGGCCATGCAGGTTACTCAGGTCCAGGTTTAGCTGTTGCTTGAAAGGCATTAGTGAAAAAAGATGGGGTTAAATGGAGGGCGTGTGCAGGATGCAGAGGGCTGTGTGTTAGATGATCTCTGAGGGATTCAGCCGGAGTGTGTGTCTGCTCAGAAACCCCCTCCATCAGGAAGGAAGCACTCACACACACGCACAGACCCACAGCAGCCCATTAGGGTTAATAGGGAGCATGTCAGTCCACTAACAGAAGGCAAAGGGTTTCTCTGGAGATCAGCTGTTTCAGAACTGCTCAGGTTAGTGTTCGGACAGCAAGGCTCTCCGGAGAGGCGATAGTTCTCACCCTGAAGGACAAAACTTCCTTTTTAGAGATGTGGGACTCAGAGGAGGATTTGATGCAAGTTTTCTGTTATTTATATGCTCTCTTTTTAAAAGTGGCAATAGACAAAACTTTCCCCTGGCGTTTTCAAGGGACATTATTGACGTACCTAAGAAAATGGATTCATTTATGTTTTCCTCAGAGTCTACTACTAGTGACACATTTTGGGACTTATTCAGACACACAGAATATGCAAGAAAAACATATTAAAAAGTGTTTGGTATTATCCGGTAGTTTACCTACATTTTGCAGTAGCTTGTTGCTCATTTAACTACATTTATATTTGTTATTCAAGTAGTCAAATAACTACTGAAAACTACGAACAATTTTGGGACATCAAAGGAAAATATTTGGGTGTTAACGCCATTTGACAAAACCCACACTCTTTTCTTGAATTATAATTATATTGCAAGTTTAGATATGAACTGTGAACAAGTGGGTATATATATATTTTAAATATACTTTATTGAGGGCAGGGTTAGGGTTAGGGTTAACCCATTTGTATATGAAAAACATTATATTTAGTAACATTTAATTACCTATTTTCCCTTGGTAATCTGATAACAATTAGATGTATTTAGTCATATTATCACTTATAGCTAACCAATCTAAATCCTGATCTAACCATAACATTGAACAATCAAGTTAAAGCGAAAAACGTGTCTATTGCCATTTTAAATATGAAATGAATTAGTCATTTTAGCATCAACTCTCATTAATTTCAAACTGCTTGAATCTTACTGATTGCTGGCGACTAATCTGCACTTTGAAACAATGGTGGAAACTCCAAAAATGTATTAAGATTATGTCAAAGATGACAATCACAAAAGTGGCTTTAGAGCGTGCATCCATTTGTTTTTGTCTTCAGGGGTCACAAGCCAAAGGGTTGAGAACTACTGAGGCCCTGCGGTCCCTGAAGGCCTCACTCACTTATAGCTGCTGAACGGAGCCGAGGGCAAGGAGAACGGTTCCTCTAGAGACTCCTCAAAGCTGTCCCGGAGCCAACAGTGAAACAAAAACACAAATTCATCACAACAGAGCCCAAAAAAAAGAAAAAACTGAAGCTGTGGATTGTATGATTGGATTTTCATAGCAGCTTGAGTAGTTTACCTCCCTATTTTCTGTACCGTTTAGATTGCATTTGGTTATTTTATTTCTACATTACATATAATTATGTAAAAAGATAACTGCTTTGCTGGATTATCATTTGAAGCACGAATATTCTGTTTGAACTAAGATGTGATGTACTTTCCTACCAGATCAACCAGAAAACAATTAAGACAAACAAGAATCAACCAATTACAATAAAAACAATGATCTGGAACTCCTGCCTGCATGTGCTCATCTTTCCACTGCGTTGACTGTTTAATCCTTGAAACAACCACCCTCAATATTCTTCGGAAGCCTTGAATTGGATTTGACGCCTTGTGGTTGCCTCCACCAACCATTCCCGCTGCAGTTTACAGAAATGTCCTCATTAGACATCAGTGTGAAATGTTCATAATAACGGTACTGCCGTGTGGACGTAATAACGGTACATCCATTCACTTTATTGTCATTTTTGTAATGACAATAAAGTGATCTAATCTAAATCTAATCTTTGAACTCCTCGTGGATTCATCTTCTTATTATAGACACATGCATTTCCAAACATTTGGTCTACCTATGTTGTAAATGTATTATCTTTTCAATTTACACACGGCATCTATTGCACGTCTGTCCGTCCTGGGAGAGGGATCCCTCCTCTGTTGCTCTCCCTGAGGTTTCTCCCATGTTCCCTTTAAACTGTGGGTTTTCTCTGGAAGTGTTTTCTTGTACGATGTGAGGGTCTAAGGACAGAGGGTGTCGTATTGTCATACTGATATTCAGTACAAACTGTGAAGTCCACTGAGACAAATGTAACATTTGTGATATTGGGCTATATAAATAAACATTGATAGATAGATTGATTGAATGGGGTGACGTCACGCTTTGCCGAACTGCATTGTGGTTCCGTCGCGTCGCTTTGCCTCAGTTGCTCGCTTCGAAAGTTGAGAAAAGTTCAACTTTTCAAGCTTCGACGGAAGCACCAGCCAATCAAATCATATGCCAGTACAAGCTCTAGCCAATCGAACCGCGTGCTTGTGTGTCCGGGGAAGGAGATTAATGTGATTGGTTGTTGGTCGAGTTTCAGACAAGCTCACCGGCAAGCTCACCGGCAAGCTTCAACGCGACGCTGCCGTTCTTTCCAGGTATTCCCGAGATATCAAGATATTTACGAGAATGGACAGAACTAGAAACATAAAGCCTCTAGCCACGGCTTTCCAGGTGCAGAGGCATGACAATGACAGGGCCACTTATAGAGAAATGTAAAAAAAAACATCCAAAAGCAGCAAATAATAGCATTTGTGTTACCTTGGGCTCAGGGCTACAGATAACAGCAACAGATATCACATTATTTTTGACCAAATACCTTGATATCAATAATAATGTTATTTATATAGCACTTTTCCTGGTGCTCAGAGCACTTTAATTGATTTTGTGACAGTATTGACTACTGATGCTTCATAATCTGACATAATCTCAGTCAGTGATGTGGATATAATGACTTGGTGGATAGGAAAAACACTACAAACTAGAAGAATTACACCACTACTGTGATTTAGCTATTCAATCCAGGAAACAACAATATTTATGCCACATTTCGACGTCTACTCTTATATCACGATATTGATATAAAACTGATATATTGCCTAGTCCTACGTTCAACCACATACATACATAATAAACCCTGCTGTGTAACGTCCTCCAGCTTCACTGTTACCTCACACACTGGCTGCTGCCCACATGAATGAAATGAATAATTTCCGATGTAAAACAAGTTTCCGCTCTCACAGGGAGGAGGGATTATGCTTTTAGGCACACACACTTATCTTTTCTAATCACATAACTGCAGCACACACTGTGTGTGTAGATACTGATCAGTCGCTACACTTCAAATAGTCGTCCAAAGGACAATCTAACATTAAGTACTGCAAACCAATTTGTCCATGCATAAGTTGATGAAGAGGGTTTCTGCCAAATCACAGCTGAATTTAGATGACCCTCGCTGACAACGTTTTATTGGAAAATGTTTATTGAAACTCCTCGAACACTCCCTTTAACCTTTGGAAACATATGCTGATTTACTGTCAAATAACATTTGATTTACAAACTGTTTCACTAGTCTGTTTTATATCTCATAAATTCAAAAACACTTAAAGCTCCCATGTCATGGCCATTTCTACTGATCATAATTCCATTGTTGAGGTCTACTAGAATAGATTTACATTGTGCAAACTCACATTGGTTTCTCTCTGTATAGTATGTGTATTCACTCTGGCCGTTTCTCAATCTCGAGGATACTGGCTTCCAAGCCAATATTTCAAGGATGCTACGTCATCGAGTGCCGCCGAAGGACTGTTCCAATCTCCAGCATACTTGGAATTCCACCGAGGCCGCGTCCTTGGTTTTGGGGGAAATTTCGAGGCTGCACATGTGTAGACTTCGCATCCTTAAAATCCCCACAATGCTTTGCGCACGGACCAATTTCAAAAACCCTTGCGGAGAATGGCTGAACTGACGCAGCACACATTTAAATGTAAGTATGTAGTGGCGTAGAACATGTGTTGGTAAATAGTTACTTTGTTACATTTGTTTGTTATCACCAACAATGTGTTCCGTGAAAGTAAAGCAAGTTCATAATTAGATAGACATCGTGACGTATTTATTTTCGGTACAGTTTATGTTGAAACCGTTAGAGAGAGTGGCACACTTGTTAGTCTGTTCCATTCTTCCTCGTTTTCCGAAGCCGTGGCTTGGAAGTATACTTGCTTTGTTTCTGAAGGAAGTGACTTGGAAGTACGCGACTATCAAGCCAGCATCCTCGCGATTGAGAAACACCCACTGTCCGAAACGGCTTGTTGGAGCTCTTGTTAGAACCATTTTGGTTCCGGGAAGAAACAAATGGAAAAAGAGAAATCTCCAAGGAGGCGTTCTGGGGCAGCACAGACAGGTCTTCTCTGTGTTAGAGTTGTACTCGCTACAGGGTGTACTTTGAGGGTTTGTGACTCTGCAGACCGTTTACATGCAGAAAAAGCTTCATAACACACAAGGGGACGGGTAATAACCGGAAAAGCGTGACATGAGACCTCTCACATAATTCCTGCTCATTTTAAATCATTTTATATTAAACTACAGGCCAGACATTATTTAATGCACCACTCAATATTAAGAGTTGGACAGTTATGCTTTTCTTTAAGACTTGGGGCAAAGGTAAAGCCTCGTTTGCACATTCAAACATATTTTAGCAAACTTGTAACGTAAGAAGGCAACTAGGTTCAATGTTATGTTGACATTCAGACGTGGTTTCCCCCCCTATTCACCAGTTCTGTTTTGCAAAGTGTTTTTGCAATATGTATCTTTCAAGGCTTCAAAACTAATTAGTTTCTCATACTTTTATATCTCCATTTCAGTAGCACTGACATATACCAAGCCTTCCAGTTTCATTTCTCTCTGTGTTCTGAAGGTTTGGTTCTTATATCTTTCATAGCCTGATAGAACATGTTGAAAACACATTATCGTTAATGGCTTTTAGGAGTATTTTGTGATTTATCTACAAAGAGATATCAAAAACATCCTCCGTAAAAACATGGACTATAACATGTCTACAAAATGAAACAATTTGTTATGTTATCGTGGCTTTACTAAACTTTTACATCTCTGTTCTGGAAACGTATGCATCTTTTTAGAAGACCTTCCTTTTCAACAAAGCCTTTAGTTGGAGCTGGTTTCAGATTATTCCATATCCTGGTTCCTACATTTTGTGGTATTTTATGTTATTGTTTAATTGTATTGTCTTTTCTTGTATCTTAATTCAATTTATTTCTATTTGTATTTTACACTTATGTATCTTGTCTTTCCATTATTATAAGTCCACTGAGGGAAACGTGTTTTACGTGATATTGGGCTATATAGATAAACTTTGATGTGATTTGATTTACCAAAATTATACTTATTTTACATATTGAGGCATAAAACGTCATAAAAACAAGGAAATATGGTCTTAATGGACGCAATCAACTAAGCATATCAGTTGAAATGTGTATTATTTTAACCTGTAATGATATCCCAAAATAGATAACATGTATGAAAATATAAATATACAAGTTGTCTGACGTTACTCTGGATTCTAATAATGCTCACCCATTATTTTTCCATCACAATATCTAAGCTCCCGTGAGAAGTATCCTATATATTACACATAATGCCTAAAATATCCTCTCACATAGAAATGATAGTTAATGAAATGTGACGGAGCGATGAGATGATGAAGATTCAGGAAAGTCCTGGCAGGAGAGCTGATGGAAATCATTTGAACACATTATTGAGCAACAGTGATGTTAACATGGGCCGACTTCCAGCAAGAGTGTGTGTGTTATAGTTTAATAAGCAGGTAAATAATCGAAAGTCACAAATGGAGACTCAACATGTGAATTCATTATTAGCAGCTATTGTTGCACGATAACTGCATGTATTTGGTTTCAGCAGATCCAATATGTCCAATAAATTGACGTGTTTGCAAACGTTTTTAAAGCTAGTGCAAAAAGGAAAATATGTCTGGGTTGTAAAGGTTTTTTAAAGTGTCCGAAACAGCGTTAAAAAATAAAAAAATACAAGGGAATTGCATTTCTGCGACATTGACATTGATTAGCAACTTTTAAAACGAGTCGAATTATTTTAAGTAGGATGCATTAAAAACATTTTAATCGTGTTACATTAAAATAAATATGGCATGTTTCACAGCACACGTTCCCTCAGTTGAAGACGTTTTCTTATTTCTCCTGGTGAATGTGTACGTTTTTGAAAAGCCTTGTATATTTATGTCTGAATTGCAAGATATCGATGTTGGCAAAAATCCAATAAAGTGTCGTTCTTACCTCTCAGTGATCCTGGAGATGGTAGACCGTAGAGGGATGTCCTGGAAAGAAACATATGAATAATAAGAATAAAGACGCAAGATAATGTAAGTGTTGAAATCTGAACACATTGAAATTCAACCTATGCAACTTTTTTTTATAGTTATCATTTCTATATTTGATTCACTAATGCCCCTTTCACACCAACGCGGATCCAGGGCCGGTTCGGAGCTGGAGCTTGAAAAGCACCGGTTTTTCCTGTTCACACTCTTAGCTCCGGAATCCGGTTAGTTTCAAGCACCAAAAAGTTGTCGGTCTAGAAAGCAAGCACCGCATACGTCACGCTTACGTCGGAGGCGGGGGCAGAGGCAGAGGCGGGATCAACCTCTAACAACAACAAAAAGCCCACGTTTTATCCAGTTTGTACACAACGATGGAAAACCTAAAACTTAACAAGCGGCAGTGGTCCACTGAAGAGACCGAAGAGGTACAGAGGAAGCTGGAGGGGAGCACGCGGTCCAAAGAACTTTTTAATGTAGCATGTAACGACTGTAAAGTTGGTAGTAAAGTCGTCCCATTTCTTCCATTTCGTTTCGACAGAGCAAAACCAAAACGAGTAGCGCCATTGTTGTTGTTGTCGATGTGAGGGGGTTCCGCGCGGTTTGGCTTTATGAAGCAGGCACGCAAACAGTTACGTCATGACACAAACGATGACGCAATGACGCAGCACCAGTCGGACTCTGGGAGGTGTGAACAGAGCGGGAGCTGAACCGAAGAACCGGTTCCGAACCAGAAAAGCTCTAGCACGGAGCTAGAACGGGAAAAGCCTTGGTGTGAAAGGGGCATTATTGCTGCTTCACTACTGTATATTGTATATTTCTAGGAGTTAATGGTGTTTTATGTGTATTGTAAACACCTTTGCTGTACTTGGAGAAGTGAAAGACAAGACCTGTACTTTAATCTGTTTTATAATTGTTTCTGTGATAGAGATTATGCAATGTTTTTAGTGTTGATTGTTATGTACCTACTGTACCTAAGGACTGCAGATGGAAATGAGCAATTAGCTTAAATCTGGCTCTTCTCTTGTCTGAGATGAATGTATTTGTATGCATGGTCCTTGTTCAAATAAATCCAATAAGTAAATCACAAAGTCAATCTAATCCAAATGTATCTAATTAAATCTCCAGAACTAAGAAGCTAATGTTAGGCTTTAAAGCAGTGGTCGCCAACCAGTCGATCGAGTGTGGTGCGGGTAGATCGCGGACCGTTAAAAAAAAAGTAACAAAATAAATAAAAATAAAATAAAAATAATAATGTTTGAAAAATACGTTTTTAGATGTAAACCTATCATCCACCACCCCGTTAGCAGGTGCCACTTGATTAACGTATATTTGAGACACCTCAATAATATAATACATTAACCGTGCTTTACGCGAACCTCATCATGACACAGGAGAGGACGGCAGGACGCAATTTCCGTGTGTCGAGAGAGAGAGAGAGAGAGAGAGAGAGAGAGAGAGAGAGATGAGAAGAGAAGAGAGAGAGAGTAGAGAGAGAGAGAGAGAGAGAGATAGAGAGAGAGAGAGAGATATATAGACAGAGAGAAGAGAGAGAGAGAGGAGAGAGATGAGAGAGAAGAGATAGAGAGAAGAGTGAGAGATCCAAAAGAAATATGTTACAGTTCTGTTTCATATGGGTGTTGGAGAGTGTATCCATTGATCTCTTCATGTTGCTCTCAAAGTGCACACCAGATTGATGCTTTTCATCACTTCAATATTTAAAAAAAAATCTTCCTTCCCCGGGGGAGCATGCCCCCGGACCCCCCCTGAGGAGATGAAGGAACCCTAGAGGAGGTGAGGACTCCCCCTAGAGGACAGGTGAGGTCCGCCCCACACTCGTAAAAATAGCACTTTACCACTTATTACCCCCCTGCCTATATGCCGTGAGCTGATTATGGAGCCTTCATTTGTAACAGTAATTCAGATGCAATTAGCCTATTAAAGGCCTCAAATTGGAAGCACTGTCTGGGCCGTCTTTTTCACTCAATTCTGCAATAGGTAGATCTCGCCTTTCACCTAGGCCGAGGTCGGTGATCTTGTGCTTAAAAAGGTTGGTGACCACTGCTTTAAAGGAACCTTCACCACGATCACACGACTCCCCTCTCCACTGCTAAGCTAAAGGCGGCTAATGTGATGATGTTGAGTCGTCTCATTCAGTCACTTGTTAGCAAACGCCGTTTTAAAGCTACAGGATGTTTACTGATGTATTTTAATGTCGTAGAATACACGTGAAAATCTCATAAACTTGTGTCAACCACAGACCCTTAGTTCAGGCTCTCATAGAACTCATTCCTTCGTCACTCGATTGTGTGCATTTAGCAATAAGAATCTATTCGAAACAAATAACCTCCTATAGCAAATAATTAACGTGGCAACTTCATCCATTGTTTAACTCAGGAGAAGGTAAGTAATATAGTAAATAAAGCCATCTATTAATGTCTGTCTTCTCACCTTCAGGGCTGGAAAAAGTACACACCTGCTTTACTCAAGTAGAAGTACAGATACTCGTGTTTAAAAATACTCTGGTAAAAGTAGAAGTACTGACTAAACTTCTTTACTCAAGTGAAAGTAAAGAGGCTTTGAAATGTACTTCAGTAAAAAGTACCCATAACTCCCAGCTGTTTTAAAGAGTACCTGACCTCCCTTTATATTAATAGAACAATAATGTTATTGTTAGCTAATGAATGTTTCCATGCTGAACAACGGCAACATGACAACGTTTCCATTGGTCCCTCTTCTTTAGAGAAGACCAGGAAATGATGGATACACGGATCGTGTTCAAATCAATAGGCACGCAATGACTCTAAATAATAATGATCACGCCACCAAACACACATTCAAACTAAAGGAACCAGCTGTTTGGAAAATGAGAGAAGTAGAAAGTACAGGTATTTGGGTTCAACATGTAAGAAGTAGAAAGTACAGGTATTTGAGTTCAACATGTAAGAAGTAGAAAGTACAGGTATTTGAGTTCAACATGTGAGAAGTAGAAAGTACAGGTATTTGAGTTCAACATGTGAGAAGTAGAAAGTACAGGCATTTGAGTTCAACATGTGAGAAGTAGAAAGTACAGGTATTTGAGTTCAACATGTAAGAAGTAGAAAGTACAGGTATTTGAGTTCAACATGTGAGAAGTAGAAAGTACAGGTATTTGAGTTCAACATGTAAGAAGTAAAAGTAAAAAGTTGTCAGAAAAATAAGTAGTGGAGTAAAGTACTGATACCAGAAAAATGTACTGAAGTACAGTAATGAAGTATTTGTACTCCACTACTTCCCTCCTCTGCTCACCTTGAGGCGTGACTTCCCGTTGACGATAGCCTCCGGGGTGAAGCCCTCTCGGTTCTGCAGGTGGGCGAAAGGTTTGACGGCCCCCCAGGACTCCAGGTATCGAGTCATTCTCACCGACGCCCTCATCTTCAGACCGTCGTTCACTCGAGGTTTAACGGCATTACGGCTGTTCAACGACGGGTCCTTAGACTTTTCACACACACACACACACACACACACACACACACACACACACACACACACACACACACACACACACACACACACACACACACACACACACACACACACACACACACACACACACAACATTACACTTACTGTACACTGGGGTCACTTAGCTTTCAAAATGAAACACATTTCTCATTCTTTCTTAAAGGTCCCCTATTATACTGTTTTTCATCAATATATTATAGTTCTCAGATTTATACAGAACATGTCTCTGATTGGCTGAAACACCAAACAGATCATTGCAGCATTACCCATAATCCCCTCTGTTTCAGCCCTGTTTCCAAAGTGCTGATTCTCTGTCTGTTACTTTAGATGAAAATAAGGAGCCCCTCCCCACGCCCCTCTGAGAGAGGTTTGGTTACAAAGAACACAATGGAGCTCTAGGAGGAGATTCAGGTGATAAGGGGGGGGGTTACCTTGGTTGGCGATTGGCTAATGGTTACACGAGCCAAAACATCATCATAAAGTGGCCAAAATCTGATCAGCTCATTTTCAGACAGGTTTTTATAGAAATGGATCAGGACACAAAGAGAGAGAATCTTTGTTCCTGAAACTTTCAGAGTCTCTTTCCACAGAGGGGACACATGTTGATGTAGAAGAGACATAAAGAAGAGGGGACACATGTTGATGTAGAAGAGACATGAAGAAGAGGGGACACATGTTGATGTAGAAGAGACATGAAGAAGAGGGGACACATGCTGATGTAGAAGAGACATGAACAAGAGGGGACACATGTTGATGTAGAAGAGACATGAACAAGTGGATTTTGCATAATAGGAGAGCTTTAAAGTAGAGGACTCACCCGAGGATCAATGACCAGGTACGACTGGACGTTGCTCTCCTTCAGGTAAAGGTCTCTGAGGTGGCCGTTTCCATCTTCCACTTCGTACGCTTTGTTCAGGTGCTTCAGAGTCGCCTCTGTGATGTGAACACGACTGACGAGAGAGGAGAGAGCAGGAGAGAGATTCAAATGCTTATCTTGGTATATTGTATTTTATATTTAGTTTTCCACTTCCTATTTATTTGATAAGACAGGCAAACGTCCATCCAACATTTATCCCTTGACACACTTTTCTTAAGACTAATAATGTCTATATTGCATCCTATATATATGTCTACTTAGTCCCTGGTGAAACTACTTTACAAAACATAATGGCATATGTGCAGCAAAAACTGAAAACAATTTAAAAAAGCTTGCGGTATTTTAAGACATTATATTAATTAACAAATTAATAATAAGCTCAAAGTTAACTAATTGCAGATCGACAAAACAACATTTGTAATCTACCGTTTAATAAGGACAGATTTGTATAGAATAATACTAAAATATGATATATAAACATGTAATAAGATATACATCACTCAAGTAATACGACGTACCCAGGAAGGCCTCCAGACTCCATGTGATTGGCCAGCGTGACGTCATGTGACCACACGTCAAACTGCCACTTTCGGAGGCCGATGACGCCGCAGAGCACGTTTCCCGAGTGCACCCCCACCCTCATGTTGATGTCAACTCCTGTGGCATCGCGCACCTGCCTGCAAGAGATTCATTATTATTAATACAGTTATTCTCCATGTTGTTCCTGTATGCAGAACATGGTCTTTACGCACATCACAATAGAAGACATCACGTCATGTGTCAATACTTGCTGAGATTTACCTACTGTTGTAATAATGTCATTTTTGTACTTGTGCATATCTAGGCATCACTGTACACATTTTTTAAACTGTCATTCCCTAAACCCGAGACCCACTCTTTCTATTTTTTGGGGGGAAAACATTTAAATGAATCTCCACAAATAGCTTTTAACACCTTATTGACACAAATCATCCATTACCTAAGTGTATCTGTCACATTTTGTTTAAGAGTTAACTAGAGTAGTCAAAAAAAAGAGTCCTGATACACAGAAATTAGTTAGCATTTTTGCACTTCCTGTTCCCTCGTTAGAAAGTCAATGGATTTAATTAATTTGGTGAGATGACTGAAATTAGGCTTTGTGTTTAACACAAGCTTAAAAGATGTTGACGTTTTGTTCAAGTATTGTTTATGTTTTATAGTGTCTTAAAAAAGGCGGATGCTAACAAGTAGCTAACTGAGACGACCAACGTTTTTGGGTACATTACATTACGGGTGTTTCTCAATGTCGAGGACGCTTGCTTGGTAGCACATGTCTTCCGAGCGTCTTGCTTCAGAAGCGAGGCAAGAATCCTTCCTGGCATTCGGAAAACGAAGAGTGGAACAGGCGAGCAAGTGTGCGTCATATGAGAGGCCCCGCCTCTTAAATTTTCCGCCACAGATTTGGGGAAATTGGTTCGTGCGCAAAGCATTGTGGGGATTTTAAGACCGCAGAGTCTACACATGTGCAGCCAAACGAAGTACGCTGGCCTCGGTAGAATTCCAAGTATGCTGGACATTGGAACAGTCCTTCGGCGGCACTCGATGAGGTAGTATGCTTGAAATAGTGGCTTTGCAGCAGCTTTACTCGACATTGAGAAACACCCTACATGTTACTTGTTAGACGTTTTTATCCAAAGCGACTGTGCCAATCCCCACAGGAGCAATTTGGGGTGAAGTGTCTTGCCCAGGGACACAACGACATGCTGACTGCAGTGGGGTTTGAACCTGTGACCCCCTGATCCGATCACCAACGCACTACCCACTGCGCCACACACGCCTCCCTACATTCAACGTCATCACACTCATCTGCTTCGAGGTTGATCTAATGAAATCACATGTACTTCATTGATAGCCTTATGTTGCTTCTGCATCACGTTATTGTGTGAAGATTATCTTGTGGAACAAAACGTGTAAGTATCACAAACCTTTGTTAGCCTCAGAGCTAATTTCCTCAATGGAAAAATGCCTTTTGGTTGTTGTCAAGCGAGAAAGCATGATGCAAATTTGGATGGCGTACAGATTTCCCTGCAGGACTATATATGTTTCAGATTATGAAGGTGTATCGGTCGGCACACACTCACTTGATGGCTTCACACATGTCCAGGCCCATTTTGACGCAGTTCTTGGCGTGTCTAGGCAGAGAGACCGGCAGCCCCGACACACAGTAGTAGCAATCTCCCAGGATCTTGATTCTCATGCATTCATTTTCCTTTAATGGATACAGGATAGAAGAGAGGGAACCTGGTTACTGGCCTGGTTTAATGCAAATAGAAACAAACTGGTTGCATTCAATTGTGGGTAAGCAGTGTGTGTGCACATGGCAACACATGGGAGTCAATCAATACACAGTGTTTGATTACTGAGTGCTTTGGTGGTGGTGATAAGGAGAGAGTGTTTCCTTGTTTAATACAGATTTCCCAGCCAGTGTGAGGTTTATCAGAAATCTCACAACTGTAATCTTTGTATTGTTACTTTGTATGAGTCGTAAACTGTCAACATCAGCTTAGAGGGTGGTGGCTTTTTTGTAATAATGACACAATAATGTTTACTCACCTTGGCAATTTGATCAAATTTTCCAAACAGTTCATTGAGCATGATGACGAGCTCTTTGGGAGAACAGTCACTGGCCAGCTGCGTGAAGCCAACGATGTCGGCATACAGAATACTGTAAGAAAGAAATTATACAAATTAGAGAGTTTAACACACACAACGATGACGGTAAATTAGGGCCGATTAAAATAATACATATTTATGCAACTGGGAGGGAGGCAATATTACAAAATAAAGCATTACTTTCAGGAAAAAACTTGGATACACTTAGATAGAAGTTGTTAAAATACAATAAAACTTGCACATTTACAAGAATAAAAATGCAATGTTTTCTGAGATAATACAATTGTATCTTTCTTATTTAAAAAATGTTCAAAATGTGATGTTCATTTTCTTCACTGTATATTATTTTGTTATGAATGCCCTGTAAGAATATAATTTCTTAAAATGCAAATAGGACAGAACAGTTTCCCTTTATCGTCATTTCACCAGGTACAACCAAATTAAAAACCAGTTCTAACCGTTTTCATAAATCAACACAGGCTCACTATTTAGCAAGATGACTAAGCCTTATATTGGCTACTTATGGCGCATTTCCACTGCAGCGCGTAGCACGGTTTAAGCGTGCCGTGCCAAACCCGGCCCGTTTTTTTTTGCTTTTCCACTAGGGGTAGTTCCGGCTAGCGGGTACTTTTTCACAGTTTTCTGGCCCTCCAAAATCGAGGTTCTTACCGGGCCAACAACCGGGCTGAGTGTGCTGAACTAGTGACGTAAACACTCTCGACTGCTGAATGGTCAGAGAGAATCTCTGGCAAGGGAGCTACAACTACAACAAAATGAACATATTTGACCGTGATTTAATTGTAATACACGTTTCAAAATGATGCCGAAGTAACAACATACTGATACCGGTTAGTAAAAATCATGAATTAATGCTTTGACAAGCCTGCAGACAGACGGCAGGCGACATATAACACCCTTTAAAATGGTGGAAAAGTGTAATACTCTTTCTTTCTTTTGTATATTCAGTGTATCCATGTATTGAGAATTGAACAAAATAATTAATGTTAAGTGTTTTTTCAAGTTATATATTTAATTTCTCTTTTTCTAACTATGCATATACATCTAGAGAGAAACTAGGATTGCACACAAAACAAATTGTGTAAATAGAAACAAAGGTGTGTACTCTGATGTAGATATACATTTTATTTTTAGACTTTTGAGGTATAAATTATATTTTTAAAATGTAATTTAGTTTCTTTCTTTCATTTAAAATAAATTATTATGATTATTAATTATAATCATGACACATTCAGACAAAAAACGACCCTAAAACATGTATTAAATTATCCATTATTATTACTTATATATACAGTGTATTATATACTAAAATATTGACAAACTAAAGTAAACTGACCGGTTTATAAAGTATAGTACGAAGCCTTAGCTTTATTACACTTAAATATACCCCTTTTTATATTAATTATTTTCTTCCCATCACACACACACACACACACACACACACACACACACACACACACACACACACACACACACACACACACACACACACACACACACACACACACACACACACACACACACACACACACACACACACACACACACACACACACACACACACACACACACAGTTATTGTGTATTGTTGTATTTTTAGCGAGTCAGAAACGGCTCTTATAAGGTAAATATTTTCTTGAGCATGCTACAGGATGCAGGTCATCACAGCTGACAGATGAGGGTGTGGCGGTGATCTCACACACACACACACACACACACACACACACACACACACACACACACACACACACACACACACACACACACACACGCACCTCACTCTTTATAATCCAGCTTGAACATTCCCATTAACTAAACTAAACTTGTTTGTGTGTGGTCAGTTAGTATAATGCACTAGATGTAAGCTGTTGCATGAATTGTACTTGTAATGACCACATCTATCCAGCACAGAATAGATAGGTAAAAGTCAAACTAAACCATTCTGTTGTCCAGCAGAGAAACACAGCAGCTGTTTCTGAACACGCCGAGCTGCTCCATGAGACAGAAGCTCAGATAATGAGCGTCTGCAGTAATTACAGGGATGAGTCAGTGAGGCAGTCTGTCATTCAACACCTTTTACTAAATGAACATAGCAGCAAACATGACTGATGCCTTCACAATGACCTGTTGATGAGCAAAGACCAAAGGTTTAGTGTCCTAATCTTCTAGAAGACAACATTGCCTTCTAGCATTTCTATTTTTCAGTGTGTTTGGCTATTTTTGTGGTCATTTGAGTTGGATTTGATGTCTTTTCAGTGTATCTGTTCGGAACAGAAACCATTTGCATAATAAAATCCACAACTAAGCCTTGTTAGTGTTTTCATTTCCTCTTAAAAATCACTATAATGCCAGTTCCTTATTACAATAAGGCAGAGGCTGTATTTCGCCTACCTACTCGAGCTGGTGTGCCATCTGCCAAAGTTCACTGTAAGCCGACCCAAAATCTGTCAGCACTTGCTAAATGAATAAAACCCTCGTAAAACAAAGAGCCACAACTGGGTTAATGCGCTGAAAACCAAATGACGTACTAATCTCCGTCGTTATGAAAATGTTGAGAGAAATATGTGCTTTTTTGTATAGGTTTTTTTCATAACGAGTTTATAACATCTGAGATGTTTTTCCTTTTTTAAGGTGCAGTTTCATATTTTTGTTTTTGTGCTTTTATGCTTTCAATGAAGTGAACAGAAAATACAAGTTTCCCTGTGAACGACTGAGGATTTATGAAACTGCAGATAAAGGAGACGGATAGGGGAAATCATAAAAAAGCAAGCTTATTAAGTTTGAAAAGTGTCTGGAGAAACCTCTCTTTTATTACAGACGGTAAGCAGTACAAGTTCAGGAAAGAGTCCATTGATAATTTGCCAATTAAAAATGTCCCTTAAAAGGTCTCGATGGCTGATCAATAACACCCTCCCCTAAGAGCATACTTTAACCTTCCTGATGAGCTGAGAAGGGCCATTTAATGATCAATAAATCAACACATCGATAGCTTTGCATGTGTTAATGAGTTTTCTCTGGGTCGTACCTGACGTTCTCGTGCCTCTTGACGTACAGACTGTGGAAGTTGTTGTCTTTGACGAGGCGCTGCTGCTCCTCTTTGTCCTTACAGTCCTGCAGGCGCTCCATGATGGCAAGCTTCATCTTCATGGAGATGTAGACAGGAAGCACAGATTGCAGCAAGTTCTCCTGCACACACACACACACACACACACACACACACACACACACACACACACACACACACACACACACACACACACACACACACACACACACACACACACACACACACACACACACACACAACACACACAATTAGTTGCATAACTGCTATTTAGGTGAGACAGGAAATTGGGCTTATTTCCAGACGGTGGCACTCAATATACGTGATGACACACACACCCACACACACACACACACACACTCACACTCACACTCACACACTCTCAGACTTGCAGTCACACCTCATAAACATCTCACTCTTTAAAATCCAGCTTGTAACAGTTGGCTGAACACACCATTCATCTGGCAAGTGGACAATGACTGTTTTTATTTGTAAGCCCTAGCACCAATCTGGAGTTTTGGGGGCACTATTATGTAAAACTACTTCATACAGGTTTAAATGCAACCAATACTGTACATCCAAACAGTGATACTAACGTATGTAGTCAAAGCAGTCTATTTACAGAGTGTTAAGTACGTTTTGAAAGCGGCTCAGCCAATCAGAATCAAGGAAAAAATATAAAATAGCTCTACGCTTAAAACTCATATAAATATTTCTCATTTTAGAGCATTCAAGCATATCCTGTGCGTCATAAATATGAACTTCAGCTAATGAAATATGGATTTTATAATACTTTATCCCTAATCCTTCTTTATTATTTCCTCGAGGCAGATCAGGTGGGATGAACCAGTTATCTTCAAGTCATTACAGTGATATCAAATGGTATTTAGGACATTCACATTCTTGTTTTGAAGTGGTTTTAAACTATTTGGACGTTAAGTCCTATTGTTTTTATATGAAAGAAACACGAGAAGTGCGCTCAGTACAGGGCAGTGTTTTTGCCAGACGCTTTTCCCCCCTCACATAAAAGATTAAATTAATTCAATTGTCGCCATCATCTTCTTCATCTTAAACTTATTTAAGTTTACGTAAAGTAGTATTTATTCGTTTTGAATCATCCCTTACTTTAGTGGATCATAACATAGAACTCTTTTCTTCGATGTTTTTGATTTATTTAACACCCCTACAACTTTGACAGGATGAACTACTGCTTTTGACACGGCTTCAGATAAATCTTTATTAGACCATGGGATGTTTTGCTTTAACACGTCAGACATTTCCAAGTGTCTTTGGAAGAAGCCAAGTGGGCCGTAACAAAGCGTTTATTTCCCTGGAGGATTTCTGGACCCTCTCCAGGTGGCACAGACTTCGACTCAAAGGAATACAATTGCACCTTATCCTAATTTGAGGGTGTTATTGCAAAGAGGTGAATGTGTTTGGACTGAAAGCATTCCAGCTTTTTGATACATTTTTAAAATGAGTAAAATAAACATCATAATTGAAGTTGACTTTACAAGTTAGGGTATGTGTCCTCTATAAGAATGTGTGTGTGTGTGGCCTAGCATTACCATCCTTGTGGGGACCTACATCTGTTTACACAGTCACGTGTGGGGACTTGCCCCCCTTATGGGGACATAATGGAGGTCCTGGTTAAGGTTAGGATAAGTCTCCAGGAAATGCATGTAAGTCAATGTAATGTCCCCTGAAGTGATGTATACATGGTATGTGTGTGTGTGTGTGTGTGTGTGTGTGTGTGTGTGTGTGTGTGTGTGTGTGTGTGTGTGTGTGTGTGTGTGTCACTCAGCTGCAACCTGAACTGCTTCCATGCACTCTGGCTGACCTCTTGCAAAGTTCAAATTACGCTTTTAGTTTTCTACTGAAGCAGGGAAACTCCCCTCTCATAAAGTCATAAAGTGGTCTTTGTAGAGAGGAAGGCGGGAAACTATAGGATAGGATGTGTTACCTGATGAAGTGCAGCTCTAAATGTTATCCATTTGTCTTTATTACTTCATGTACAAAAGTACTTTCAAGAGGCAATAGACAAGTGATGTGCTTTAACGTATCATTATAAAGAAAATGTTGTTTGCACAATGTAATGGTTATGGGATAATGATGTGGATTTAGATCGTTCCTTATTAGCCTCACTCTCAGTTTTTAATTCTGTCTGACACTTTCTAAAATAAGTATTGGTTTTATACACAAAATATTCCAGACTTTTGAGAGACATTCCTGTTGTGTTTGGGTTACTGTATGTGCTGTATCAATTAAGACATTACATCATATTACATCGAAAGCATCTTACAATAGGTAAGACGACTTGTATTGAATTATTAGGGGTGTGGACTGTTACTACTACAATTAGCAATAAAGAATGAATTACTTCATACATATTTGAATGCATATGTATTGCTTTAACCCTGATTGTCTGAATAAGTCGTTAAATGTGTCTTAGTAAAAAGGAAACCAATCAGAGGACATGACCACTTGTTAGGAAGAAACTTGTCTATTGCTGTTTTAATTACTTATAGTCCACATCTTGCATATGGAAACATGTGGTCATGCAGTGACACACATTTACTTTGATTTATGGGACATTTCTGACATCCTTCACACCCTGCGAAGACATTTTTTAGGAGTGTCTGCGTTCACTGCTGCTGATGAATCTGGGAACGCGACGTGAGTTCCTCATTGGTTCCTCACTTGGACAGGTTTTGGACTTTCCCCTAACGTGCTTTTATGTCCGTGTTCTCCTCGGCTAACACCACGCTCCGCTTTTCTCAGCCCCAGTTCAAATACAACAGGAGTTTTAAATGTTAATGGTTATTTCGTTCCTTTCTGTCCTGCTAGGCAACACACCAGCTTCCCAGTGGTCCCGCACTAAGCAACGGACATAACAACTAACGACAAAAGGAAGGACATTTGTTTTAAAAATGCCTCTGAAGGAAAGAGCAAGCCAGCACAGATGCATCTAATTTAAAAGGCAACACAGGAAACTCTCATTTCAGGGGGATTTGTTTGTCGCAATGAAAACATCCATGGGGAGAGTCAACAGGAGGCCAGCCAAGAGCAAAGATTAAAGATGAAATACAATTGTAAAAATTAGGGCCGGGACTCGATTAAAAAAATTAATCTAATTAATTAGAGGCTTTGTAATTAATTAATCGAAATTAATCGCATTTTTAATCACATATAAATATTTGACCTAAGAACAGTGAGAAGCAATTTTTTTCACATGGATTTTAGTATACCATTAGGCGCATTCACACCGCAGTACTTTTCCCACAAAGGTTCATGAGAACTTAGTTCATGAGAACTCTTTGAACCTGGGGAGGATTAGGCAAATGAAGCCGCTGACGTCACTTCTTCTTCTTCTGCTTTGGGTTTACTGGCAGGCCGCAAAACCACTTCACGGCGTATACTGCCGCCCAAAGTCCCCCGGCCGGAAGTCCCCGGAGTTAGGGACTGGCTTCAGTAGAAGCTGCTGGGACTCCCAGCAGCTTCTACTGAAGCCTTCCGAGTAAATCGCCAGAACGCCGACACCTCCTCATCTCCACCGCTCCCATGTTTTATTTTGTGTTGCCATAAGTTAGTCTCTCTGCGTTTCTGCGCTGGGCTAATGCTAATAATGCTAATGCGAGGATAATAAAATGGCGGCTTCACAAAACTTTTTGCGAGTTTTACGGGGCGTCGTTTGCAATCCGCCCAGCCAATCAGAAATATAGCTCTTTTCTCACAAGAGAGCCGGGGGTAAAAAGGTTCTCATTAACTAATTTTAGTACCGGCTCTTTTTGGTGTGAACGCGATAAAAGAGGCTAACGTCCACGCTAGCTGCTATATGTTTTGCATTGAGGTGATACTTGAGGCTTGATGTGCTGCGGTGATATGCGAATTCCTTTTTGCATAATTTGCACACAACCGTGCTCTTATCGACGCTTCCATCCGTCCGTTTTTTAAAACAACATTTCCCACTGTTGTTCACTGTGGTTTTTTTTATAGTCTGAAGTCATGAACGTTAGTTGGTGCTCCAGTATAATCGGTACGCCTGAAACTCATCCAGTGAGAAACGTTCCGCGGTGCAAAAATAAGTGCGATTAAAATGCGTTAATTTTTGTGTAATTAATTCATCTTAATTAACGCGTTAAAGTCCCGGCCCTAGTAAAAATATGTATCATCTGTAATGTCTGCTTTCATCCAGAGAGGTTACTAAAATACAGATGATGTGGAAAAACAAAAAGGTATTTATATGCTCGTCACAAACATTAACTGAGAATACACTGTGAGCTTCTCCCCACAAATTAAAAGTTGGTATGCTTGATTTATTTTTAATAAAGAAATATTGCTTTGGTGTTTTTCATAAATGAAAGGTAAAGAAAACCTAATGCAAATCATGGATGACATGTTTTCATATTTGTATTAATTATATCTTAAGTTGACTGATTTATTTCCCCTTATATACTTAAAGGTCCCATGTCATGGCCATTTCTACTGATCATAATTCCATTGTTGAGGTCTACTAGAATAGATTTATATTGTGCAATGTTCCAAACTCACATTGGTTTCTCACAGCATCTCTGTAAAGTATGTGTATTCACTCTCTGTCCTACACGACTTGTTGGAGCTCCTGCCCCCCCCCTCCCTCCCTGTGA